CAAACTACAAGCAAACACATAAGTCATGAAGTTTTCAAGAATATTTATTGAGGGGTAAGATTTATCATGACACCAAAAATTACACCTCTGATCAAGTTATCCAAACACTGAGTCTAAACATCATAGTTATACTCATAAAGCATTAACAACAATTTTTTAGTATGGTAAAACCTTTTGGTTTGTATTTTTGATTATTTGTCAAATAAATTGGATGCCATAGTAAAGCACCATCCACATTGTTACAATGAAAACATCAAAACTGCTTAGATCCATAAAAAGCAATTATTTATTGAACTGCATTTTTTTCCTGTAGTTCATTTATCTTCATGCTGTTTTTAGGCCTTTTCTAGAATCTGCAGCAGATGCCACAGCCTCTCATTCCAGGGCAGCAACGACAGCACAAACGGCAGCGACGGCGTTGTGCCTGAGCTCTCTCATATGGCATCTGTAAATAAAAAAAAATTGTTTAATTTCAAATATGAAATGCTGTAAGACTGAAATTTATTCAGTAATCTTTAATTCCACGTTGTAATTGATAAAGTATACCCCACCTACTATATAACCACAAAATATTCAAAAATATTTCTATAAATGCATAGTGTTTTATTTATTCACTTGACTGACCTTCCAGGAGTCCGCTGGCATGTCTTCACCTTCAGCGATTGGGCTGCCATTGGCCCGTCCATCCATCAGTTCAGCACCCTGTAAAAGATGTTGTTAATTTAGACCAAGTATGCTAATGTTGTGACTAATATGAACGTAAAAATTAAAGTTTCAATGCTCTTACTTCAATGATCATGTCAGCGGATCCCTCATGGATCCCGATGACAGTCACCATGATGGCCGCGGCAACCGCAAGAGTGAAAGCCTTCATTTTGGGAGTGTTGGTCCAGCTGGAGCTTCAAAATCAAGTGAAGTTGCTTAGATTTTGATGTCTGAATGTGAGAAAAGGGCCGGTATTTATAATTACTTTGGTTGGTGTTGCAATGAGGTATTTCCACTCTGATTGACAGAGCAGAAGTAAGATCTTTCAAAAGCATTGCAAGCATGAAGAGTTCAGCTGCATAATTTCACCTTTGCAAAAGTAGCACATTT